TCCCGGCAGCCCTGCCCCCGCGCCGCCACTTCCTCCAACGCCCCACCCAGCAAGACACCCCCAGTGCCCCCATCTCCCCACCCAGCATAACACCCCCAGTGCCCCCAACTCCCCACCCAGCACCCACCCCAGTGCCCCCAACTCCCCTCCCAGCATCACACTCCCAGTGCCCCCCCTCTCCCCACCCAGAATAACACCCCCAGTGCCCCCAACTCCCCACCCAGCATCACACCCCCAGTATCCCCAACTGCCCTCCCAGCAACACACCCCAGTGCCCCCCAACTCTCCACTCAGCAACACACCCCAGTGCCCCCAACTCCCCACCCAGCATCACACCCCTGGTGCCCCCCAAGTTCCCACCCAGCAACACACCCCCAGTGTCCCCCAACTTCCCGCCCAGCACCCACCCCAGTGCCCCCCCAACTCCCCACCCAGCAAGACATCCCCAGTGCCCCCATCTCCCCGCCCAGCATCACACCCCCAGTTCCCCCAACTCCCCTCCCAGCAACACACTCCCAGTGCCCCCAACTCCCCTCCCAGCATCACACCTCAGTGCCCCCCAACTCCCCACACAGCACCGCACCTCAGTGCCCCCCAACTGCCCACCCAGCATCACACCCCCAGTGTCCCCAACTCCCCACCCAGCATCACACCCCGAGTGCCCCCCAACTCCCCATTCCCCACCCAGCACCCAACTCTCTGCCCACCACCCCACTCCCAGAGCCCCCAACTCCCCACCCCCTCGCCCAGCATCCCAACTCCAGTGCCCTCAGCTCTCCATGCCCTCCCACCTGGCACCCCCACTCCCACCACTCCCCATCCACTGCCCAAGACTCCCGTGTCCCACCCCACTCCGGCCCCGCAGACCCTCCCATGTCACATGCCCTTGGCCTGGGAGGGGTTGGCAGGCCTGGGAGGGGTTGGCTGACCTGCTGCCCTGGCATCGGCTGGGCGAGGCCTGCAGGGAGAGAGGCAGAAGGGGGGTTAGTCTGTCCCAGGGGGCAGCAGAGAGACGGGGGCACAGGCTGCCCATGGGGTGAAGGGCATAGATGGACGGACAGCCGCAATCAGACGGACAGTGGTCAGGGGTCACACAGACAGATGGATGGTGGGAAGGCTGACTCATGGATAGACAGACAGCAGACAGGAAGACAGACAGGAAGACAGACAGGCAGCAGGGGGGATGACACACGGACAGTCGGATAGACAGTGGGCGGGATCACACACTGACGGAAAGACAGACACCGGGCGGGATGACACACAGACAGACAGCAGGCGGGATGACACACGGACAATTGGACAGACAGCGGGCGGGATGACACACTGACAGTCGAACAGAAAGACAGTGGGCAGGATGACACACTGACAGATGGACAGACGGCGGGCGGGATGACAAACTGACAGTCGGACATACAGCAGGTGAGGTGACACACTGACGGATGGACAGACAGACAGTGGGCGGGATGACACACTGACAGTCGGACAGACAGACAGCGGTGGGGATGACACACTGACGGATAGACAGACAGCAGGCAGGATGATACACTGACGGACAGACAGCAGGCGGGATGACACACAGACAGATGGACAGATAGTGGGCAGGATGACACATTGACGGTCGGACAGACAGCAGGCGAGATGACACACAGACAGATGGACAGACAGCCGACGGGATGAAACACTGACAGATGGACAGACAGCGGCCGGGATGACACACTGACGGTTGGACAGACAGCGGGTGGGGATGAGACATAGACGGATGGACAGACAGCAGGCGGGATGACACATAGATGGTTGGACAGACAGACAGCGGGCAGGATGAAACACTGACAGTCGGACAGACAGACAGTGGGCGGGATGAGACATTCACAGTCGGACAAACAGCAGGCAGGATGACACACATATGGATGGACAGACAGCAGGTGGGGATGACACACAGATGGATGGACAGACAGACAGTGGGCAGGATGACACACAGACAGAAGGACAGACAGCAGGCGGGATGACACACAGACGGATGGAGAGACAGCGGGCGGGATGACACACAGACGGTCGGACAGACAGACAGCGGGCAGGATGACACACAGACGGATGGAGAGACAGCTGGCGGGATGACACACAGACGGTCGGAGAGACAGACAGCGGGCGGGATGATTCACTGACAGATGAACAGACAGCGGGCGGGATGACACACTGACAGATGGACAGACGGCGGGCGGGATGATACACTGACGGATGGAGAGACAGCGGGCGGGATGACACACAGACGGTCGGACAGACAAACAGCTCACCTTGAGGATGCTCAGATATTTCTTCAGCTCATCGTTCTCCCGCCTCAGCGCCTCCAGCTCCCTGTGGAGGGTAAGGATACGTGGGGTCAGAGGGGCTGGGCACTGCCCCCATCTGCCCACCCTCAGGGTCCCCCCATGTGCCGGGACGTGTGCTTGAGTGCCAGGCTCTGTGCGTGCTGTGCCGAGCAGGCCAGGCACCGTGTGCCAGCTATGCCCCAGGGATTGCGGGTGCTGTGCCCAGGGGCATGTCCCTGGTGACCCCTGGTGGCCGGGCTCTGACCTGTCGCGGGTGGAGAGTTTCTGGCGCGTCTCCTGCAGGGACCCCTCCGCCTGGGATGCCCTGTTCTTGTAGAACGAGAGCAGCCGCTCGCTCTGTGCCCGCTGGAAACTCCACACCTGGGAGACAGACACAGCGAATGGGGCACAGGCCAGACCCTCTAGGGGGTGCTGCCTCCCATCCAGCCCCAGGGCAGGGACTGGCTGGCTCAGGAGGGTGGGGAATGGGGCACGGGCCAGATCCTCTAGGGTGCACTGGCTCCCCTCCTGCCCCAGGGTGGGGCCAGGCTGGCTCCGGGGGGTGGGGAATAGGACATGCTGCCTGTCCCCTCTAGGGGGCGCCAGCCTCATCCAGATCCACAGGCGGGCGTGGCTGGCTCCGGAGGTGAGAGCCAGCTGTTGCTGACTGCACTGAAATCCCCTGTGATGATTAACTTCCATCTCCATTCATCTCCCTCCTTAGCTGGCTCCCTTAGCGTAAATAATTAGGGGGGGAAGGGAGGGGTTCCAGCAAAGCCCTTGCACTGATTATTAACCAGCCGCCTGCTTGGTTAGTAACCCAGGCACTCCATCTTGCCTGACCTCGAATTCCCCCGGCTGCCTGATCCCTTCGAAGATGGGGGACCCCGCCTGGAGTCTGCCCCCCCCACATCCTCTCTGATAACTCCGCAGAGCGCGCTCGCTGGCGGCTTCTCCTCCATCCTTGTCGTTCCCATGGCTTGTCTCTGCCCCCTCCCGTCACAGGTGCCCACCAGAGCTGCACGTGACCTGCCTCAATTGGTCTCTACTCCAGACAGATTCTTTGGTGTAGCCACCCGAGGGTAACCGCAGCATGGCCTTGGGTGCTCGCGTTCAGCCGCGGGTGCACCCTGACCCCTGGGTCCGTTTTAGAGACCTTGCCGGCCTGGCCTGCGCGCCTCCGGCCTAGCTGGAGAACTTGGCGTTTGTCTGGGTTGACATGCCGCTGGGTGGAATGGGCCCAGCTCCCCCAGTGATCCAGGTCTTCACGGGATCATCAATACCTCCCACTCCGCCAACCCTTGGTCATCCGCAGACCTGACCCACAGTGATCTTATATTGACTTCCCGTCAGTGAGGAGTGTCCCAGTGTCCTAGAAACGTTGCCGAGGGAGGACCAAGTAAACCTAGACTGGCCCTTACGGGTGTTTGTCCAGCCAGATCTTTAAAACCTCCAACAACAGGAATCCTCAGTTTCCCTTGCTGCGGACTAAGCCCCTTATGTCTTCTCTACCGTCAGTGAACAATTGATCTCCGTCCTCTTTATAGCAACCCTCAGCAGATTTGAAGACTGTTCTCACTTCCCTCTCAGTCTTCTTTTCTCATGCCTAAACATGCCCTGTTTTCTTAACTTTTCCTTGCAGGTCAGGTTTTCTCACCCTTGGATCATTTTCAGTGCTCTCCTCTGGACTCTCTCCAGTTTGTCCCCCTCTTTCCCAGAATTGGACACAGTACTCCAGCTGAGGCCTCGTCAGTGCTGTGCAGAACGAGACAATGAGCTCCCATGTCTTATAGACAACATACCTGTTAATATGCCCCAGAATATTTGACTTTTTCTCAACTGCATCACAGGGGTGACTCATCTTCAATTTGTGATTCACTCGAGCCCGCCGTGCCTTTGCAGCCAGGGTCGGCTCCAGGCACCAGCAAAGGAAGCAGGTGCCTGGGGCAGCCAATAGAAAGGGGCGGCAGTCCGTCCGTTTTTGGGGCGGCACGTCCAGGTTTGCGGCGGAAATTCGGCGGAGGATCCTTCAGTGCCTCGCTTCCTCTTCAGCGGCAGCTCAATCGCTCCGCTTTAGTCTTCGGTGGCACTTCGGCGGCAAGTCCTTCAATCAGGTTTTTCTTTTTTTTCTGTTTTTTTTTCCTTCGCCGCTTGGGGTGGCAAAAAAGCTGGAGCCGGCCCTGTTTGCAGCTGTGCTATTCCCTACCTAGTCCTTCCCTATTTTGTAGCTGTGCATTAGATTTTTTTCCTTCCTAAGTGAAGTCCTTTGAATTTGTCTTTGCTGAATTTCATCTGGCTGAAGTCAGACCGATTCTCCAATTTGTCAAGGCCATTTTGAATTGTAATCCTGTCCTCCAAAACCTTTCGACCCCTCCCAGCTTGGTGACAGATGCAAATTTTAGAAGCATGCTCTCCGCTCCGTTATCCAAGTCATTAATGCGAATACCACCTGACATGGGACTGACCCCTGCGGGACCCCACTTGATACAGCCTCACAGTTTGCTAGTGAACCATTGATAGCTATTCTTTGAGGATGGTCTTTCAACCAGTTGTGCACCCACCTTGTATCATCAAGATCAGATTTCCCTAGTTTGTTGTGTCAAAGCCTTACTAAAATCAAGCCATATCACCTCTATGGCTGCCCCCCATCTGCTAAGCCAGTAACT